AATATTACCCGACCAGATACTGGATCGTGACCAAGCCATTCAACAACAATGTCAAGGGAAAATTGCAGGTGAGGCTATAGAGCAAAGAGAACATGGACAACCGAGCAAACATTTGAGAATGAAAGTCCTAGAGCTGTGCAAAATGCCTAAAACCCAAAACAGACTGAAAACTAAGAACCTGAAAGTAGCCTCGAATCTGAGAGAAGCTAGGGGGGGCAAGTACCGAAAGATGCAAAATTTGCACATCCAACTCCGAACAGCATGGATTGCAGTAATAATATTGCACAAGGTAAATTACAATTATACCAAACTGTGAAATAGCATACATGAACTAAAATGGTAGACAGGCATAAAAGAGGGTACTTTGTAGTTTTGTAAGGAGCAATTCAATTGTTAACTAGAAACACGCTCAAGTGTCCATAACACTACAATTTAACATTGAAGTCAATACAAGAAAATTAGCATCAAAGATAAAATAAAAACAAACATTGATATTGATTCACCTCAAACTTTTAAAAGCTGCATTTTATTTGAAAACGCGATAGCAATCCAATCAGGCAGTGCAGCAGACCATTGAAGCTGGTTAATTTCAGAAGCAGCAGAGCACATGGACATTGGATCAATCCCATTAGGTCCAGCCATAGTTGGCAACTCCCAAATAAGAGCCTGTGAATCATCACCAGCAGAACAAATATGGCAACAACTCTGCGGAGCCCAAGCAATAGCATTCACACTCGAACGATGCCTCTCCAACTCCGCAACAGGTATTGTTGGGGACCTAATATCCAAGATCACAACTTTATTGCTATCCATCAAAGTGGTGGCCATATACCTCAAATCCTGTTTGTTCCAAGCCAATCTCAACAAGGGTGTATCAGGTCTAGGACTCTCATATATAATAGTAGAATGTTCCTTGTCTCTTAAATCAAAAATCCTAACTGACCCATCAGCTGAAACTGAAGCAAAAACCCTTGCTTCACCCCAAGCAATATCATAAACTTCCTTATCATGAGCTATAAGTTGTGTTTCAACAGCACCCTTTTCAATATCCCAAATCGTACAAGTTGTATCAATACTACAAGTACCAATTCTTTTAGGTTCAATGTCATTCCAATCAAAAGAAGTTAAAGGAGCACAAAACTCACCTGTCTTACTATTGTTAAGCACAAAAACAGGCTCAATAGAAGCAGACTCTCTAACTTCCCATAAGCGAAGATAGTCACCAGAAGAGGCTAAAAGGTCATTGGACTTGTGAAGAGAGGAAGGGCTGAACATGAGCTTGGTGGGTGGATAAGGGTGTTCAAGGGAGAGATTTTGATGGGTTTTGACGGAGCGGGTTTCAGGGTCAAAAGAGACAATGTCTATGCGGTTGTTGTAGTCTTCAGTGAAGCTGCCCAAGGCAATGCGTTGGTACTGGTTTGTGCGAGATGGGGTCGAAGAGATTGCCATGGCATAGATAGGGTATGGAGATTCATAGGTTATGGTGTTTTCTGATCTTAGGTGGGATTCTTGGGCTGAGTTCTCCATCGTTCATGCAATAGATTGGATCTCTGTGTTTTCTTGGGGTGTTTTGGCGTTGCGGTCAACAGGGTATTGGGTTTCTCTTGGTTGTGAAGATGGGATTTGTGAATTTTCAAGGAGCAATGGGGGAGAAGGTGAAAATTCAACAGTTCAGACTCCTTCAACTGAACCGAATTGCGGAGCAAGCTACGTGGGAGAGGGTTGGATCACGCGGCTTTCTACCTAACTCGTTAGCTAGTTAGTTAGATAATCTGGTTGCTGCCTGCTGCCAAACTTTCTGCCACATAGCATCCCCACCCTTACTCTCTAAATTTTAGCTAAAATAACTTTTATTATTTTTGAAATATTATGAATATTTTAAAATAGAAAATATTATCATACTTATATTTTTAAAAAAATTAAAGATCATGAATATTTTATTATTATTTTTTAAATCAATTAATAATTATTATTCTTAAAATTCAAGTACTATATTCTAATATTCTTAATGACTATATTTTAATAATTATATTTTCAACAATTATGCTCTTAACAACGGCTATATATTTTTACTTGCAAAAAACCACAAACTTTTATTTTCATTCATCATTTTTCTCACTTTCTCCACCCCAACTATATATTTTTATAGATATTTTTTGTTCATCCAATCTTTAAGGCTTTTAAGAACTTCTAACTCGGGATGTTTTTTCATGATCTAGAATTATTTGAAGCAACAAACAACGAGCTAGCGAGAGATGATTATCACGACAACACGGTCCTTCCAATCCTCGCCAGAGACTTGAAGGTCATATAATGCTTGAACATCACAACATTTTTTTTTTTATGGATTAAACATATGCGGTAAAAGCATATGATCCATACTTTGTTCAAAGAAGGGATGCTTGTGAATTCCTCAAATTATCGTCCTTCCAAAAGATGGTAGCAACAATGAGAATCCTTGAGCATTTTGTGAAGGCAGTTGCTGCAATATTTGAAGCAGGCAGGAGTACGTGAGGTCACTGAACAGTAATGATAGGTAGATGCTGGGCAGCATTGATTGCATGCATTGGAAATGGAAAAATGTACAGCATGGTGGTATGTACTCAAGTCATGTCCATGATCCAACAGTTATTCTATAAGTCGTGGCTTCATATGATCTTAAGATATGGCATGCTTCCTTTGGATCTGATCCCACCTTATCTTTTCTGAACTAGCAAAAAGATGCATTCTATGTGTTAACTATTCATCAAATAGACATAACTACATGAAAGGATATTATATTGCTCATGGTATAGATCCAACATGCTAAACTTTTGTAAAAACAATTCCATCACCACAAGGAAATAGACAAAAGTTCTTTGCAGCTGCTCATGATTTGGCATGATTCGTGGATAGGCAGGCATATGTAATACTTTCTCTCCTATATAGTACAGTGATTCATCCACTATGACAAAGCACAGCCCAGCATCGCAGTTGTGCCTCACTTTTCCTATGTTCTATGCAAAAGTTCGAGACCAATGCCTTTTTTGTCTCCAGAAAAATAAATTTTTGAAAATTATTTTCCCTAGTGATGTTTGGTCAACATAAAAAAAATAAAAACAAAAAACTTTATAACAAAAAAGTGTTTTCCTTTCCTTATTCTAAGAAAAACACTTTCTTTTCTTTTTATTAACAAAACATACACAAATCCCAAATTATTCTCTAGTCTCTCACTTCTTTTCTCTAATCCCATCAATGGACCTCTTCAATGTGCTAACACCGACTACTCTTTCTTTATTAACCCCTACCTACTACTTATCTTCTTGATGACCTTCTTTGTTTTCTAAGCTCTGATGAAAACAATCCTTCTTTGGTTGATGGCACCAAGTTGAAAGATTCGAATTTGGGTGTGAATTTTTAAGAAGAATTTGGGTGTGAATTTTTAAGAATAGGTGCTGAATTGGGTGTCAAAAGTGAAGGAAAAGTTCGGTGGAGTAAATTCTTCAAACTTGTCGAGTGCTGTAGGGCAGCTTTTTCTTCTCTTGGATTCTCTGATTGTTCCTTGCTTTTCTTTCTTGAGTTCCTAGCTTGAAGAGAAGTAGCTGCTTGTAATGGTGGGTCTTGGCTGGAATCTTGATTTTTGGAAGGTTTTTCAATGTTGTTTTTTTTTGCCATTATTCTGGGTCATGACTCACGAAAAGAGAAGACATAAAGATAAATAAAAATATTTTATTTAAAAAAAATTATAAAATTTAATTTTTAATTAATTACCTATACCCATAAAAAAAAAGAAGAAGAAGCAATCTTTATCCAAAAAATCTATCAAAATATTTTTATATTTATTAATCTTTTAAAAAAATCTTCATACCAAAAAACTCAAATATCTAACTCTTACTTGGTTAAAAAATCTTAAAACCATAAACTAATTTAGCTTTCTTCATATGGAAAAAAACATATTTTAAATTTTTAAAATTAAAAAAAAATTAATAGGTTTTATTTATAAAAAATTTCACAAGGTTATATCTCTATAATATTATATGACATATAGTTATATTTTATAAAATAAGCTATATATAAATATAAGATATAATAAAAAAATTTATCATTACACTTTTTAGATTTTATTTTTTTATTGTAAGTGATTAAATATTTATATTTAATATTTTTTATATATTAGATAAATTAAAAAAATAATTCATTAATAAATTATTTTCCAGTTTATTTTTCATAATATAAACAAACACTACCGAACACTGAAAAATATCTGCTTTATTTTTTATTATACTATCAAATATTTAAAAATACTTTCTCAAAATTCACTTTCCATAAAATTCACTTTTTTTAAAAAAAAACTTCTCCTCTGCAGACAAACAGGGCAAGCTGCTCACAAAAAAAAAAACAAAAGGAATTGTTTATATAGAAATCACAGGATGCAAAAAATTTAGTTAACCTTCATGGATTACACAAACAAGGAAACAAGCCAATGTAACTTATGAAGGGGCGACATTCACATTCTTCAGAGCAATCACCAAAAACAAGAGAAATTGGGACATATCGCCTCGTATATATTAAGATCTCACACAAAATTAAGACTGGACATCAATGTCCCATTAAAGCATTCAAAAGCCAATCATCAAATTTCAAAGATTCAAAAAATGCTAACCACATTTCTACGTTGGAAATTTTTGTGTCTGGGTAAGCACCAGATGAAAAAAATTTATAATTCGTCGCCTCACAGCATAGGCTTAGGAAAACTATCTTTCCAGTTTTACTAAATCAGCTGTGCTTTTAGTAAAATCACCGCTTGAGAACAGATAGCTTGAGAAACCAATGAACATTATGGGAAACAGGGCTGTCCTCTAAAGATTTACATTAGAAGAAACGCACACTCTAAGAGGAACACCCACACCCTAGTATTTGCTCAAACTTTGTAATTCAGACTTAAACTCAGACTTGCATATATTTCCTTGTATAGAACAACAGCATGGTTCACACATCAGAGCAAGAATTGCACGTTTCTCTTTGTAATTCAATTCAAGATCATAATAATTGATTATTGTGGGATGGTATCGAAAACTTCAATCCCCGGTTTTTTCACAGCATTATAGAAATGAACCCAAAGTAAATATGTTCTTCTACCCATTTCCCCCCATAACCAAATCTAGCTCCAAAAAACCCTTTTTGTCTGCTCATATACAACAACCTTGAACACAATCAAGTTTTGAGAGAAAGAATTGAACTTCGACACCTTGGACTTTAGAAGAGGCTGGAGAGTCTCTCTCTCAAAATCAATTCACACCATCTTTTCTTCAAAAAAACATAGAGAGAGATGGATCTGTGCCAACCATCTAGATCTATTTGTCGCTCCTTCTGAGCCAACAAAGAACAAAGTATGGAAGAGGAGAAATGAGGAGGGGGGCTCAAATCAAGAAAGAAACCCTGGTATGATACTGTCAACCCTTTTAGAGCATCTGGAACCATGCTCTCTACATTTTACCCAAGTTTTAGCTAAAAAAGAGCTAAAAAGCTATTTTAGCTAGCTAGCTAAAAAATGATATCACATTCATGCTCTTCAAAATAGAGTCATGAATATTTTTTATTATTTTTTGAAATGATTAGTGATTATTATTTACATAAAATCTTCTTTAAAAACATGTTCAGAATGAGCACCATCCAAACAACGAAATAAATTGCCATTCCTTAAACTCTTTTTGTTGGCTCTTCAATCCATCTCCTGTGTTCATGATAAGAAAATTGCTGGTTGCAACATTTACAAGAATGTCAAGCCTACCAAAATGTTCGACAGTAGATTCAAACACCCAAATTGCATCTCCTCTTTTGCAAACATCTCCCTCGAATCTTATTGCTTGCAACATACATGACAAAAAGATATTTTCACTTGCACACTCACAAACTCGGAAACTAAGTTTATCACATATCCAACTAAATAAAACATTGATTGGTTAGCATTGATGAATGAATTACCGGGGAACAAAAAATATAGCAGTACAAAAGAATCACTAGGGACAGGCGATTACCCAACACCTTCACAAGTTTTTCGAAATAACGAGCACAAACATGATTTTTCATATGACTTCAAAAAACAATATTACCAAACACATTTATCTTGAGTAGAGAAAAGAATACATGCAATCCCATTACCTTATGAATTGAAGAAGCAAGGTTTGAAGGATTTGAAAGTGATTCTTCAAATAATCAAGATCGTTAAGCATCTCTTTCAATTCCACCTCCATTGCTGCTGCTAATCGCTTTCTCTCTCTCTCTCCCTCTCTCTCTCTCTCTCTAAATCTAGAATGCGTGATTCAGCATCAAGATCTACAAATGCAAAAACAGAAATATTAAAGGAAATCTTTCAAAGTTTAAAAGCCAAAAACACAATTGAAGAGTCCAAAGAAAAAAAAATCAAAATCACATGCAAATCACCCAACCCGAATAGCTCCAACTCATCCCACACAACACCATAACATTTCAGCCACCACCATAGACTGAGCAGCAACCGAAACAGAAACTAGAAGCACAACCCCTTCCTCCGCTCTTTCCTTTCCCGCGATCACCTTCTTTCTCGCTACCAACCGAGGAGTGCTACAATACTCGCTACATATAGAGAGTACTGTTCATAGTGTTAGAATAGGTAGCCAAATAGAGAGTAACAATGCGATTCTTTTTTTCACTCATACTAGCTAGTAGCTATTATAGCTAAGGATTAAGTTTGGGTAGCATGAGCGTGGATGCTCTTACCCGCCTTCACTCTCGTCTAGAGCTGTAAATTGGAGAGTGCTACAGTACTCGCTATACTGCGAGTTCTGTTCACAAATCTAAAATGGCGAGCTATTTGGTGCTCTGCAAAAATTTCTACCTGCTGGCTATCATAGCTGAGGAGTCCTTGGATGCTCTTACTAGCTATTTGGTCGGCGTGTTACCGCGGGATGCGTATACAGGTTTTTTTCAACTTGTTGTCTTATATAAAAAATTATAAATTAAAAATTTTATACAGTTTTTCAATTAAATAATTTAAGAATTATTTATATACATAATTAATAATTAATAATTACTAAAAAATTAAAAAAAAACGTATAATTAAATACATACTATGGTATAGAACATTTAGCTATTTTTTTTATTGTATATATTTATTGAAATTATTTTTTTATTCAATAAAAAATAATAAAAATAGATATAAATATTAAATTAATTGAATAAAATAAAACGAAAACAAAATATTTAAGCAAAGCTATATATATTATAAATATTATATAAGGAGTATTTTTAAAAAATAAATTTTATTTGTATAAAATATAAAAAATAAATAAATTAGAATACTATATTTAAAAAATAAATACATACATAATTAAAAAAAATCTCTATTAAAAAAATCTAAATAAGCAAAATAAAAACTTGCAGGAAAGGGATATTAATTGAAATATAAAAAATAAACTATGGTTCAAATAATAAAAATGAAATAACTTGATAAAAAAATAAAAAAAACCTATAAAATTATTTTTAAAAAATATTAAATGATGAAATTAAAAAATAAAATAAGTCAAAAACAAAAATGATAATTCACGTTAACTTTTTAAACTTGTAATCTGAGCTATTAGACCACAAATATTATATATAAAAAACTGTAAATATTAATCTTTAATAAATTAAATATTGAAGAATAAAAATAAAAAAATCAATAATACAATAGGATTTAAAATAAATAATTAAAATTTAAATTATCAAAATCAAAATTAAAATAAAAAATAAATTAAGAGTATTTGTTGGCACGGTGAATTTTACGTTTGTGGTGAACCGTAATTAATAATTATTTGATTTCAAATAAATTGAGTTTAGTGAATCAGATCCCACATAAATAAATTTAAGTGAAAAATGTAGTTAATTGCCTGATAGTATATGCATGCATTTTGAGAATCTTTAGATTATGTTTGGTATTGCAGTTGTTGTTGTAATTATAGTTTGAAAAAAATTATTTTATAAAAAATATTTTTATTTAAGACTGGTTTGAAAAAAATATATATTTGGTTAAAAATGTAGTTGAAATTAAGGTTAAAGAAACAATAGTTTAATGTGTTTGGTTAAGAATGCTTTTGAAAATGAGGTTTTAAAATAATTTTTAAAAAATATATTAATATTGATGGTTTTAAATTTAAATATTGTACTTTATATAAAATATTTTTTTATTATTCTATTAAACTATTTATAATTTCATTATGCATAAAATTCATCCGATAAGAACTATAGTTTTTATAATTTTTTGAATGTGTAATAAAATTAAATAAAATATTATTGGGTATAAAATTGATATTATAGTACGAGTAAATTTAATTCATTTTATACTAGTTTTTTTAAAAAATATTATTCACATTACAATTTAAAAAAAAACGGTTAAAAAAATCAAAACATTGAAAAAATATTCACGTAATAATAGATGTAAATTAGATTGTTTATTGTTTTTCAAATAAATAGAATATTAATTTATATTATTTATACTACTTTCACTCTTAAACAAACAATATAATTAGCATGAATACTGCATGTCAGATATAAAAACACGTAGGATCCATTCATAATAAACTATATATTTTTCTTTACCAAACATATTTTTAACAAAAATACAGTCGTAACCCCGTTACCAGACATAATGACTTGCTGTGTATCTTCTTTATGCGCGCATGTGACAGTACTGCCCCCCACCCCCACCCCCCCCTACTTATGTTCTCACCCTAAGTGAGCAAGTTCTAATATCTGTTTAGGGTTCCCATGAAAATCTGCCCTCCTCGTTTTCCACCGTCTGTAAAGAAAGGTATAAAATAAAGAAACTAGATCTGATCATTAGAGACAATAATAAAAAGAAGAAGTTGTAATTGGTGTGGTTATTTATAAAAATTAATGTTAATAAAATGCAAATTAATATAATTAAAAATGAAAAAATAATTACATGTTCTTTTTAGTAATATCATTACCTAAATTAATTTAATCACAATTTTATTCAAATATCTTATATATGATTTTTGCTGCTTATAAGCTTTAATTATAATTTTATTAAATAAATATTTAAATCCAATTAATTATAACTAACTGTATTTGTTTTTAAATTTACTTTTTAAGCCAAGCTACTGCGATACCAAAGTGAAGAAATTTAAAGTAAATTTTTAAAAATAAAAAAAATATTTTAAAAAATAATTTATGATGATATGTACGAAGTGGCGGACCCGTTGACACCGGAGGGCATCATCAACCAAGAAGCCAACGAAGGGATATTATCTGATCCGAAACTCAAAGCAGCCCTCTGCTCAAATCCAATCCTCTGCTTCTCGCCGTTTCTTACACACGAACTCCTCTTTCCTTCTCCCTTCTCGCAGGGGACCTAATCTCAAAAACCCAATCTCTTACAAAAACTAAACGCTGCTAATTACCTTGCGCACCACAACACAACACAACACAACACAAGCATCATAATTGTCATGTCACCACCCCCTCCACCTCCACCACCGCACCAAATACACATAACCCCCAAACCCACCACTACCTTCCCTGACCTCTTCCTCACAGCACTCTCCATTCTCTTCCTCTTCTCCTCCTCCTCCTCCTCCACCACCACCTTAACCTCCTTCCCCAAACCCCACTTCCCCAAACTCCCTTTTCTCTCCTTCCCATCAAGCCCTCGTAGATTCCTGAAAATTCCCTCCATGTCTGTCTCTAGAAAGACGAAAAACAGCCACCATTTCTCTACCCCACAATCTCTCTCTGATTGGCTCAAACCTCGCCTACCATCGGACTCCTTTGCCTCATGGGGTATCAAACCAGGCACCAAAAATATCCACAATCTCTGGCTCGAAATCTCTCAAGGTGAGACCTTTTTAGCTGACTCTACTCCTCCAATTCGCACAGTTAATGTAGTTACTGTTAAAATCATCAACAAGAATCAAACTTTGATTGAATCCCATCAAGAATTATCCGATGGCAGTTTTAGAAATAGGTGTAGACCTTTATCAGAGAAAATGAAGCCTAACGAGTCTTTTAAAGATGCAATCTTTCGTGCTATAAATGAAGAACTCGGTTCAATCTTGAAGGATGGTAATGAAGTTAGTATTAATATTGTGAATGGTTCTTACAAAGAGAAAGTTGAGGAGAGAAATTCAATGTCCTATCCGGGCTTGCCGGCACGGTATGTGTTGTATTCAGCGGATGTAGAAGTGAATGGATTGCCTGATGGAGAGTTTTGTACTGAAGAGGCTGAAGAGTATCCTGATTCGGAGGAGAAGAGGGTTGCTGAGAAAGCTGTGTCTGTTAAGAAGCATTTTTGGAAATGGGTTAGTTCTGATTCAGTTCATTCTTGATGGATTATCAGTTTTAGTTTTTGAATGGCAATTGAGGTCAACTTGTTATTTTTTGAACACGATCCGATAATGGTTCTTATTGTCGATCATGTTGTTTTGAGACAAATGAGATGATGAATAGCAATATTATACTAGTCTTAGTTTTTTATGAAGTATTGGTATTATTTAGTTTACGGGATTGATGTGAATATCAGATATTACAAGATTCATTTTGAATTTATGTGAATATTTTTTTTATTGGTTCATGTTGTTGAGATTGATAGTTTTAGCATCATTCTTCTTATCAATTTATAATTTCAGAACCTTATAGTAGTAATTGCTTTACAAGCTCTATGCTTTAGTTTCAATTCAGGTTTTGGCGGTCCTTTGGTTATGTACCCTTTGGTGATTATAGCCTTGCAACTATAGAATGAGTTGAGGCTCTTTGTTTTTGAGTGATGTTAGCAAGATTTAGGCTTGTAATTGAGTGATGGTGGCGGGGTTCTGGATGGAAATTTTGAGTGTCAAACTTTGGCTGTTGTAGTTGCAGGGCTAACCAATTAACACAGCAAGCTTTTAATAGCTAGGAATTGCCCCTTCCTGTGGTGAGAGCGTTCAGTCCATAAGAGTACTGTGGAGTTGGATGTGCATGCCCCAATGCAACAATTGCTGTATCGTTGACAAAAACCAGGCCAGCTTCCTGCATGGTGTTTCTCTCCTCAACACCTAAAACTGTGAGAATTTGCTTCTTCAAAGGGATTCCCCTATACCTTTTACAGCCGAACAAACATATGGAAAGGAATGATACATGTGTGAGTGTGACCACATGCTTGCTCATTTTATTTTTTATAGCTGAGCCTTTATAAAAGCTAAAATTTAGTCATTTCCAAGCACAACATTATGTAAAGAAAACACTTTCATTTGTTTTCAGGACATCTGAATAAATGGAGTATTGGTAGAAAACCTCTTTTTTGCTGTTTAGGTCCTGCCCCCCCCTCCCCCCCATTGGGGCACCAGCAGACATACCTGCATGTGCTGTTAACTTAGTTTTCAAGTCTGTTTGGAAGGAAAGCTTATGCCATAAAATTCAGTTTAATCGAATTTCAAGTGAGTTCAACTAGCAAAGTAGATGTGTTTGGAAAAAACAACACTTGAATATATCTATGAAAATTTGACCCCAAGATACTGTATCTGCGTCTCATGTCCTCTCTCTCCAGCACAATCCGTTCCATCTCTTTTATCTATCTCTCCACCTGGATATTGCTTCCATATTTCTTCCTCCCTCAATTTCTCATTTTGATTGTATGTTTATGCTATGGAGAACCCCAAAATGGTAGGACACTAACCATGGAATTTCTTTGCCAACCACCATGAAGTGTAATTTTTTGTTTTATTCAATTGGTTTTGGTGGAGATGATTTACCAGTTTGGTGGTGGTGGTGGTGGTGGTGCTGCTGCTGCTTGAGAATTAGGAACAAAATTGAAAGTTTGGCTATAGAGGGGTGTGGAGTTGGTATTTTAAGTTGCTT